CTTCTGGCTTTTGATCTGTGACTCCCGGCCCAGAGCTCCCACCCCAGCCTGTGAAACTCCCCACAGGGCGGCACAGGCCCCAGAGACCCCAATGGGGACAACATCCCCCAACCCAGCTCAGTTCTGGATCACTGGGGCTTCCCAGGGGGCTGTATGGAGGTCAATATCCCCCCCCCAGGAGCTGTAGGAACTGGCATCCTGCTGGAGAGGGGATCTGCCTATAACGCATGTCCCAGGAGTCGGAGGGGGCACATGGAGCTCACCTGTGACAGTGATGGAGACGGGGCGGCTGTCCGGGGACTGGATCTTTCGCCCGGATGGGCGTATCCAGTACGCACAGGTGTACGACCCGGAGTCCTCCGGCCTCGTGATGCTCAGGGTGTGGGCATTGCTGCTCCTGGATGTGATCCTCCGTCCCGTATCTCTGGAGAACTGGAATCCGGCAGCCACTGGTGTCCCCCGTGGAGGGGAACACGTGAGCGTGACAGACTCCCCGGGGAGGTACACGGGGTGTGGGGGGCTCAGGGAGAGGGATGGAGCTTCTGGGGGGGCTGAAAGAGAGAGGAACAATCCCTCACCCTCAGCATCCAGCCACAGAGCTCTCAGCGCTGTACCCGGGAGATCGGGGCGTTGTTCTGATTCCATGGTGGGGACGTGATGCAGCCGAGTGCGGAGCAGATCCCAGGTGTGCCAAGCCCCAGCCTGGGGCTCTAACCATTAGGCAGCACTCCCGCTAGGACGGGGAGCACAAAGAGGGTCCAGCAGAGAAAGTGGCTCCTGCTGGGGGTGGGTGGGTTCAGCACTGCAGGGGGCTGGACCGCCTGCTGGCCTGGGGCGAGGGGGATGACTTTCCATGCATGTGGGGGCAGAGGGAGCCAGGCGGATGGGTGGGGTTGGGGGTGAGGTTTGCAGGGAATGGGGGGATCCAGGGCTAGGGAGGTGGGGAGAGACCCCAGGGGAGAGGATACCCCCCATATCCCATTGCATCCCTCCCGGGAAAGAGGCCTCACCTTGCACTGATAGGGACACTGGCCGGCTTCTCTCTGACAGGATATGTCGCCCGGATCGCAGGATCACGTACGCACAGGTATACACCCCAACTTTCCCCATCTTGGCCACGATCTCCAGCCTGGCACCCTCAGCCGTTGCAGGGACCTCGTCATGGATCAGCCTCTCCTGTTCCCCGTAGAACCTGTATCCCTGCAGCCTGTCGCTCCCTGGAGCCGAGCACCTGAGGGTCACACGCTCCCCTGGGAGATAGAGCGGGTGTGGGGGGTGCAGGGAGAGCGTGGGGGCCACCGGGGGGGCTGGGATAGGGAGAAAGAAGATCAGAGGGGGAGGGGAAATGAGGGAGTTCAGAATGAGAATTACCTGGCTGAAGAGCCAATGGCCCCCCCCACTGGGGGAGCTGCCCTCTCCGACAGTGAGTCTGGTCCCTCACCCCCTGTGTCTCCAAGCAACTGTCCCGTAACCCCCTTCACACCCGGCCTCCCCCATGCGCCCCCAACACCAGCACTCAGTCGCTGCACTTGGGGGGCAGCATCCCACTGGGCTCTGAGCACCAGCCATGCTCGGGGGCAGCAGGATGTAGCACTGGGGGGCTGGTGGAGAGCAGTAGCTGGTGGGAGCTGAACGTTGCTCAGAAGTGACTTGTGGGGGAGACCTCAGAACCTGGGCATCTTTGGGGCAGGCTGTGGGGCCCAGGCCCTGGTTCCCAGATCTAAGACTGGTGTGAGGCACCTGCTGGGATAATCACTGGGCCCCACCATGATCCAGATCAGCCTCACTGAGCCGGTGTGGCCTCCTCTCTTCCCTCCCCTTGGATCGGCCCCACCAGCCCTGTCTCCCTTGGGTGAGGGTAACAAACAGCCCTTTTTATACCCGGCCAAAGGGCACTCACCCTGCACGGTTATATAGACCTTGTCACTCTCGGTGGATGGGATCTCCTGCCCAGACTCCTTTCTCCAGTACTGGCAGGTGTAGGGCCCCTGATTCCCCATCTCGGCACTGAGCTCCAGCCAGGCTGCCCCGCTGGGAGATGGGAGCTCCTCCGGGGTCTGGTCGCCTCTTCCCCTGTAGAATCTGTATCCCGTCACTGCCTCGCCCCTGGGGGCTGAGCAGCTGAGGTTAACAAGCTCCCCCTGGTAATACACAGGGTCCAGGGAGCCCAGAGAGAGTGTGGGGGGCGGCAGGGGGCCTGGAACTGAGGCTGAAGGGGAGACAGCTGCGGGAGGGAAAAAGGGGCTGGTGAGATCCTGAAAACAGTGATAAAAAACAGCCACATTTCCCTGCCCGCTGCTCTCCCCCAGCCTGTGAAACAGCACACGGCAGGTAACCCACAGAACAGATCATCCCTCACCATCCCGACATATCCCGCTATGTCTGGGGGATGCAGTACCTCCTGCTGCCACTGGGGGACCCTGGTGGGGCTGGGGGCTGGAGAGCTGCCTGCTGTCAGTGGGGTTTGGAGCGGAAGGGAGGTTATTGGTGGGTTTTGGGGGGTCTCTGTCATCTGAAGTCCCCCCATTTATCTAGGGCACCAGGTGGTGCTTGTGTGCATGAGAGACCCCAGCAGAGACCTCCCAGCCCCCTCGCCCCACATGCCAGAAGAAGGGGGCATCACCGGTCACTATCATGGAGACAGGGCGGGTCTTGGGGGATGGGCTCTCCTGGCCGTCCTGCTCTATCCAGTACTAACAGGTGTAGGTGCCGGCGTGCTCCAGGCCGAGCCGGGGGATCTGGTAGCTGCGGGAGGCCTGGGGGGTGGCCCCTAGAGCGTGCACGGCCGTTATACCGTGGAAGAACCAGAATCCAGTCGCCCGGCCTGCAGGGCGGCCGAGCACATCAGGGTGATGGAGGATCCAGCCTGGTACCGGAGACCCGGCAGGTGCAGCCGCAGAGTTGCCGTAAGGTTTCCTCAGGCACAGAGGAGTCTGGACAGTGTGTGTGTGTGTGGGGGGCGGGATGTGGGGTTAGATCTATGGTCACAGAGGGGATGTGGGCGGAGCTTAGATCCAAGGCAGACACCCCAAGCCGAGCTGGCAGGGTCAACCCGGATCTCCACCTAGTGTCCGAGCTCTCCACCCCGGCCCCCGACCCTGCTCCCAGGGGCCCCTTCCTCCCGGATGGGCCTTGAACTCACGGCCTGCGGGTGGTGCCACGTCCAATGGTGACAGCCTGGCACCAAGTTAGTGCCTCAGCCCACAGTCTGCAGTCCTGGCACGGCTCCCCCAGGACAAGGGTCCCAGCTGTTTGCTGGCTGGGGGATGGAGAAATCTCCAGGGTCTGTCTGTGCCCAGCATCCTCAGGAGACAGTCTGCTCATCCCTGGCCTCTGTCACAACCCAGTGGCCCCCTCCCTCAGGGGGTCCCCTGGGGAGGCAGATCAGCATTGTATGCTGCTAACACTGTTACAAGCTTCGCAAGGCATTTTGGGAAGGGTTAAAGGGTTAAAGGTATGAATGCGAACGAAGGCCGGAGGGGGAGGAGAGGAGAAAGAAAGGGGTTAACTTGATGTTCCAGCTACACCCGAAGATAAGGAGCTGACTCCAGCCCAAGGCCATTGCACACACTCTGCTACCTGCCAAGAAAGAAGGGGGGAGTCCAAATCCCCCCCCCCCCCCGACCAGCCGTCAGAAAGGAGAGTGGCTGAACAAATTGCAGGGGCCGTGAAAAGGAGTGAGACAACAAGGTCAATGAGGGAAAAATAACCGTCTCACAGCCGCTGGTGTGTTTTGGGGAAAGCTGAGAAGGCCACAGAAAGCCGGTTTGGACTGGTACAAAGAGCACCAGGAACAGAGGGCCCTGAACGAAAACACCCCAAGAGAACCCAGGACTTAAAAACCCTCCCGAGAGCCAAAGCAATTCGGAGATCACAGCGGACTCCGGACGACCTGGGCCCAGGCCAAAACTCACATCTTCCCCTCCCCCTCTTCTTTTTACATCACACCCAGGCTTGGCCAGCCTCGGGTCGTGCGTCTGTGAGTATGAAAGTGGGTTAGGGCTTGGGGCACTAACGCTTTCTTCCCTCCTCTGAGTGATGTGAGAAACACCCTGCACTCTCTGCTGTTATTTTATTATTTTATTAATAAAGCTTTAAAACTTAGACCCTTGGTGTGTTTCGTCATCTCCTCCCCAATGATCCTGTGGCCTCAGCCTGATCACCTGACGCGTCAGGCAGATTGGTATCGAAATCTGTCACACCTGCTCTGCTGGGAGGCCCCCAGCCCCCTTCCCCACTTTCCACCCCCCACCCCACCCCACGACCTGGGAGTCCCGGAGAAGAAGCCGACACAGGGGCTGTGGTCAGAACAGACAGCTTGAGACAGACACGAGAAATGTGGGGAGGGGACAAGAGATGGCACCCCCCAGCCAGCCAGTTCCCCCCCATGGGGTCATATTGAACATGCCCTGTTTCCCCCCCCCCCGAGTCAGCCAGTCTCCCGTTCCAACAACGACACCCACAGACCCCCCTGCACAGACCAGGAGATGAATCGGGTCCCTCGGTCCCGTCAGATGACACCAGCTGGGGGATGATCTGCAGCCAGGCTGTAAGAGAAGAGACAAGAGGGGGGTGAGAGCTCTGGGGTGGGATGGGTTATAAGGGCAGGAGCGAGGGGTGTGGGGCATAGGACTCTGGATACTGGATTTATAGTCCAGTCCCCTATGTTATTGGGAGGAAGGGGAAAGAAAGAAAGAAAGAAAGAAAGAAAGAAAGAAAGAAAGAAAGAAAGAAAGAAAGATTATTGATTCAGTGAATGGGCCCAGGGCTGGACACGGAGGAGGGTGAGCACATGGGGCCGGGGCTAGCTGTCAGGACACCTGGGCTCTGGTCCCATTAGAGCTGGGCCTGGGAACGTCTCAGGTTCGACAGCCTGTCAGTGGGTCGCTGGCCAGGCTCCTGGCAGGCTGCAGGGGATCCCGGGCTCCTAGGCCAGGCCTTCCCGCTGCCTGCCGGGGAACCAGCCGGGCAGGACCTGGAGCCCGGGAGCTCTGGGGGAAGAGCCTGGCCCATGGCAGGGCCCCCAGACCTGCTGGGTGAAACTGACACGATTCTTGTCAGTTTCACTATGTGTATTCACAAGAGGAGCACCGATCCCTGTCTGTGCAGACCTCGGCACAACAGGGGGTGGGGTGAGGGGTGGGCTGATTGCGGCAGGGATCTGCGCAGTACCTGGCCTAACAGGGCCTGTTGCTCTAGGAAAGTTCCTATCAAAGAACATGCTTAAGCTCCCCTGCAGCTCCCAGCACAGCAGCTCTCACAGTGCTGCAGGGCAATGGGGAAACTGAGGCAGGGCCTCACCCAGTGGAGAATAACCAACAGCAGAGCTAGAGCCTGAAGGGGGCGCCAGCCCCCACGAGCTCGAGGAAGGTGCCACTGCCTTTGGGGAGCAGGGAAAAGCCTTGGGAAGGGGAACCCAGGTGGGTGTGACAGTCTGCCTGTGTGGAACTGAACATGCTGAAAACAGTTAATGTCAGAGGAACCCAGGCGTCTGAGGTGCGGAGAACTGATGGAGGGAGAGAGAGAATGAGACAGGGACCGAAGAAGGAGGGCAGAGGGGAAGGGGAGGAGTGAGGCAGGGAGCTGAAGAAGAGGGGAAGGGGACGGGAAGGAGGCAGGGAGCTGCAAGAGGGGGACAGAGGGTGACTCGGAGGGAAAAAACAGACACAGAGGGAATCAGACAGGGGCCGAAGGAGGGGAGCAGAGGGTGTTACCTAGTAGGTCTGTGCTCTGGGGGAACCAGGGCGCAGTACCCAGCCTGTCTGACTCATGAAAGACCCCGCCCTCCGCCTCTGCTTGAACCAAATCTGCATCAGAAGAAAGACTGACAACAAGCAATGGAAAGGCCGTGGGAGACATCCCTAAACCGTTGGATAAGGGTGACAGGATTAAGGAAACTCCCCTGACCTTATTTGCATTGAAGATGGGACAAGGAGGCATCTCCATTAGCTACAGAATGGAGACCAGAGATTCCAAGGCAAGAACCGCATGGAACTCTGGGACCAGCAAAGTAGGGAAGCAAAGCACGATGGGGGATCTCTGCTTCAGATGTTAATGGACCCACACCTGCACACACCAGGTCAGTAGTTATCAGACAAAATAGTGAAGCTCCCTAATTGCATTG